TCTTTCCTAGTGCATTTCATTTTGTGCACACTTCCTCCACAGTATGGCCCCTTTAAGATCTCTTATAACACACATAAGGATAAATGGTCAATTAATGAACTTATGACCATGTGTGTTCAAGAGGAGGGCAGACTAGTGATGGAAGAAGGTGAGAAGGTGAACCTTACTACTGGTTCTTCTTCAAAGAAGAAAAAGGATCACATTGAGCAAAAGGGAAAGATTACAGCTAAGCAAGGCATAAAGAAGGAGTCTGCGTGTTTCTTTTGTAAAAAGAAGGGACACATGAAGAAAGACTGCATTAAGTTTAAGACTTGGCTTGAGAAGAAAGGTAATTTTCTTGCGTTCGTTTATGAATCTAATATGGTTAATATTAATCATAATACATGGTGGATTGATTCCGGTACTACAATTCATGTTTCGAATACCTTACAGGGTATGACAAACCTAAGGAAACCAATGGGAAGTGAACACTACATCTATTCAGGCAGCCAGATGAGTTCACATGTGGAGGCCGTTGGGACATGCAGTTTAATTCTTAGTAGTGGTTTTATTTTGCATTTAGAAAAGACGTTTTATGTACCTGGTTTTACTAGGAATTTGATTTCAGTTTCAAGACTTGTACCTTTGGGAATTTCCTTTAATTTTTCAGATTCTGGTTTCAGTATTTTCAGAAATTCTGAAGTTATTGGTTATGGTATTTTGTCTGATGGCTTATATCGTCTTTCTTTGCAAAATGATATCACTCATAATTCTATGCATGTTAATACTGGATTAAAAAGATGTATTATGAATGAGAACTCATCTATTTTGTGGCACCGGAGATTGGGACATATCTCCATTGAGAGAGTTAAGAGATTGGTAAAGGATGGAGTACTTAGTACTTTAGACTTCACTGATTTTGACACTTGTGTTAGTTGCATTAAGGGAAAGCAAACTAACAAACACAAAATGGGTGCCAAAAGGAGTTCAAACCTGTTAGAGATCATACACACGGATATTTGTTGTCCGGACATGAACGCTAATGATCCGAAATACTTTATCACCTTTATAGATGATTATTCACGATATATGTATCTTTACTTACTTCGTTCTAAGGACGAAGCTTTGGATGCCTTTAAATTGTTTAAGGTTGAAGTAGAGAAACAATGTGATAAGCACATAAAGATTGTGAGATCAGATAGAGGTGGAGAGTACTATGGTAGATACACTGAGAACGGACAAGCGCCAAGTCCATTTGCTAAATTTCTTCAAGAGCATGGGATTGTTGCCCAATACACTATGCCTGGTTCTCCAGACCAAAATGGTGTAGCAGAAAGAAGAAATAGAACTTTAATGGACATGGTGAGAAGTATGAGAAGTAATGTTAAACTTCCATCATTCTTATGGGTTGATGCTCTTAAGACGGCAGCGTATATATTAAACCGGGTTCCTTCCAAGGCTGTCTCAAAGACACCTTTTGAGCTATTCAAAGGATGGAAACCGAGTTTGCAACATGTACGCATTTGGGGATGCCCGTCTGAGGTGAGAGTGTACAATCCACTAGAGAAGAAGCTAGATCCAAGGACTATTAGCGGGTATTTCATTGGATATGCCGAAAAGTCCAAGGGTTATAGATTCTATTGTCCAACTCATAGCACCAGAATTGTGGAATCAAGAAATGCTAAGTTTCTTGAAAATGACTTGATTAGTGGGAGTGATCAATTTCAGGACATTGTTCCTGAAAAGAATGATGATCAAATTCCACATATTGTTTCAAGTGATAAGTTGATTGTCATTCACGCACCTCAATCTCAATTGCGTGTTAGACAACCAACTATTGAGGTTCCACAAGTTGACAATAATCTAGCAGATCATAATGTAAATGAGGAACAAACAGTTCATCATGAAGATGAACAAGTTCCATTGAGGAGATCTACTAGACCAAGGAAATCAACTATTTCTGATGACTATTTAGTGTATCTACAAGAATCGGATTGTAATATTGGAGCCGATAATGATCCTATGTCATTTTCACAGGCCATAAGTTCTACAAATTCAAACTTATGGATGAATGCCATGAAAGATGAGATGGACTCTATGGCATCTAATCGAGTTTGGGATCTTGTCGAGTTGCCAAATGGTGTAAAAACCATTGGATGTAAGTGGGTCTTCAAGACAAAGAAAGGCTCACAAGGCAACGTCGAAAGACATAAGGCTAGACTCGTTGCCAAAGGGTTCACTCAAAGGGAAGGAATCGACTACACAGAGACTTTCTCTCCTGTATCAAAGAAAGATTCATTTCAAGTGGTGATGGCATTAGTAGCTCACTTTGATTTTGAGCTACATCAGATGGATGAGAAAACGACATTTCTCAATGGTGACTTAGAGGAAGAGGTTTATATGAAACAACCTGAAGGATTCTTCTCTAAGGATGGTGAGTATTTGGTTTGTAAGCTTAATAAATCCATATACGGGTTGAAACAAGCTTCTCGACAATGGTATATGAAATTCCATAAAGTGATTACTTCATTTGGCTTCGAAGAAAATGTTATGGATCAATGTATATACCTTAAGGTCAGTGGGAGCAAGATTTGTTTCCTTGTGTTGTATGTGGATGATATTTTGCTAGCAACCAACGATAAGGGGTTTCTATATGAGGTGAAACAATTTCTTTCAAGTAACTTTGATATGAAAGATATGGGCGAGGCGTCTTATGTCATTGGCATAAAGATCCATAGAGATAGATCTCGAGACATATTGGGTTTGTCTCAAGAGGCCTATATCAACAAAGTCTTAGAAAGATTCGGTATGAAAGATTGTTCACCAAGTGTAGCACCCATTGTGAAAGGTGACCGGTTCAGTTTGGACCAATGCCCCAGGAATGACATTGAAAGGGAACAAATGAAAAATGTTCCATATGCTTCAGCTGTTGGTAGCATTATGTATGCTCAGGTCTGTACTACACCCGATATTGCATATGTTGTTGGAGTATTAGGCAGATATCAGAGTAACCCAGGCATCGATCACTGGAAGGCTGCGAAGAAAGTGCTGAGGTACCTTAAGGGTACTAAAGATTACATGCTTATGTATAGACGGACTGATAGTCTTGAAGTGGTAGGCTACTCCGACTCCGACTTCGGTGGCTGCAATGATTCACGTAAATCCACATCAGGATATGTGTTTATGCTAGCCGATGGATCCGTATCCTGGAGGAGTACGAAGCAGACCTTGACGGCCACTTCTACAATGGAGGCTGAGTTCGTTTCTTGTTTTGAGGCTACCTCACATGGTGTATGGTTGAAAAGCTTCATATCTGGGCTAAGAGTTGTTGACTCTATTAGTCGGCCAATAAGAATGTATTGTGATAATTCAGCTGCTGTCTTTATGGCTAAGAATAATAAGAGTGGAAGTCGAAGTAAATACATCGACATAAAGTATCTAGCCGTAAAAGAACATGTGCAAGAAAAGAAACTGATCATTGAGCACATTAGCACTGAATTAATGATAGCTGATCCCTTGACTAAAGGCATGCAAATTAAAGGATTCAAGGATCACGTATTAAGGATGGGCCTTGGTTCCATTATGTAATACATTTATTATGTTTTGTATGAACTTTTCATTCATTGGATAATTTCTCATTTGGATTATGTACGTACATACTTTAGTTATTCTATTATATTGAGAAATATCATTATATTTTGACCAAGAGTAAACATAAGGTTTACTCATTAAGTTAATTGTGAGTGGTGAAAGACTAAGTATATAGTGATACATGGAAGATTAATTTTTGATCTTAAAAGGAATTAATCGCCATGATCCGTATATGGAGTTTTTCTTGTTAAAATGGATCAAGTGGGAGAATGTAAGACGTTTTCCACTTTTATAGGAATATATTATATTATTTTTGTGTGGAAAATTAATGATCCATTTAATGGGAAGTTGCCAATGATCAAGGCAACTACCCATGATCTTCCCCCACATTTTGGAAGCCACCCACTCTTTCACTATCTTGTCCACTACTCTATGATGGCTAGAGTAGTATAAGTAGACAATGTGTGTTTCATGAAAGGTCACCAAATCTACTCTCATATTTTATACACCATCTAAAAGTGAAAGGAGGGTTTGGAACCATCAACATTAATTAGAGCTTTCTAAAGTGCTACTGAGGTTTTTCAAAAGCAATGGCTGGAGGTAAATTAATCGATCTTATCTTGTTGCTTCCGCTTTATTATTATATGTTCATATGGAAATTAGAACATGTAAATTTATGTGATATGTTTTACATAGAGAAGATTGAGAGGGGGGATATCCGAGTTAAGGTCCGATCGCGAGGAGATCGCGACTCAAGAGAGAGTCGTGAAAATTTCCAAATGACACCCATCGGGTTGTCATTTCAAATACAAGGCCGGTACACGTTTAAAACCCACTTGGAATTGGATCAATTCCAAATTCTCAATTATTTGGAAATCCAAATACTAGCATTAATTGATCCAATTCCAAAATTTGAAATCAAATGCTTGAATCCAAACAAACCCTAAACAGATTTTTTTTTTCTTTCAAGAACATTTTATTAAGTAACCAAATATCTGTGGGGGTTTGGTGACAAAAGATTGTTTTTGGGGACACTACAAATTTCATGAATTTTGCAAAGTTAACCCATAAATATGCAACATTTGTTCTAAGCCAATTTAGTTGCCACAAGCTCTGCAAGATTTTTTATTAATTTAAAAATTAAAACATAATTCCGCATAATTAAGTTGTGGAGACAAATAAAAAATGTAGATCATTTTATAGCTTTGAATAAATAAAAACTTGATTTGTAAATAAAAAAAATATCAAATCCAACTACTATTAGTACAAACCATAAACTGAGCTTGAATTAAAAAAAAAGTTGCAGGTATACAAATGAAGAATGATAGTTAAATTTCCGCAACAATAAGCTACATGCTAATCTTACAATCCGCTAAACTACTCATTGAGAAGGGTGTAAATGAAAAAAAAACCGCATACTACTTCGAAATCCCCGATCCGAGAGAGTCTCTACCCCCGCGCGCTTCGTGAACTCCGCCGCCATTTTCTTATATGCTCCGGTGCCCATTTCTTCATCCAATTTGCCCTAAATTCCCCTCTCCAACCTCTCAATCCTCCAATTTCCTCAACAATTTCAAGATGTCTTTGCTCTCCCTCGTTCCGGTGCCGGCGATTTCTCTCCCGAAGGGATCGAGGAATGGAGGCGGGAGCTCTTCGATGAGGAGTCAGTGGAGATCTAGGGTTTCGATGAGCGTTTCGGTGGGATCTCGAGAGGCTGTGGCTGGCGACGAGCTGTTCAAGGATTACAAGGCGAGCTGTGCCTTTTTCTTCCCGGGTCAGGTAATCTTGAGTCGTGATTTGGTCATTTTGAGGGATTTTTTTTGGTGGTTTTGTGATTGATTGCCGTTAACGATGTGGACTTGTTGATGAATTAAGCTGCTCTTTGTACAGTTGACCTCTCAAAAACTTGTTTTTGGAGAGAGGGAATCCAAACCTTAAAAAAAAAAAAAATCCAATTTTAGTCAATATGGGACTAATGAACCCCCTTACATACCATTATAATATGACTTCATAGTACCTGCGTCCATATGATTGGCTTTGCGCTAGACTAATCCTGGAAGAACACTGCAATGCCGATATCATCATCCTGTTAATCTCTGAAAAGATGGTATTTGGACAACTCACTCCTAAAAGCTAGCTGACATTAGCCTCAACTTAGGATGGAAAAATGTCATTGGCTCTGATACCGTTTGTTACAGATGTTGGGAGAATTAACCTCTGTAAGGTAGTTGTTATGCTGATAAGCAAAGTTAGCAGTTGGAGAGGGAATGTGAAAGTTGATTTCAAAGAGAAGCCTTGAGCTTCAGCTTTTGGATAAAGTGGATTTCTAACAATAGCCCCAGCATTCCATGGAGGTTGGGAATCAGGGGTTCTATCGCATAAGAACGGACAAGACCTGACCAGTTTGGATCTCAAAAAAAGAAGGTGTCATATCTTTCGGTGTAGAATAGGATATTCGAGGTGCCACTAATATGTTATGCTTACAAGTCACAAACTTACAATAATACATGTTTCACGGTCAAATATAGAAATAAACAAGTAGAGTTCTGTTAATAATTGAGCTGAAACTTTGATTGTTTTCTGTGTCCGTTCTGTTAATAATTGAGCTGAAACTTTGATTGTTTTCGGTGTCCTTTTTTTCAAAGAGGAAGAATTTAAGATACTGTTTGATATGTTATGTTCAAAGAAAAATATAAAAGTGCTAAAATTGTAGCAGTTCAAACCATATATCCTTTACCCTTTTCTCCTTAACAGAAGTCTCAGACATCTCCTCCTCCTTTGTTCTTCTTACCATGACTAGAAAGATTTAGCCTTAAATTAATATTTAGCTGTTATAATTCTCTATGGTAACTTTTAATACAGCTACAATTATTACTGAGCATTAGATGGTAATCTAAACATTGGAAAAGATGGCACCGTCATGTAATTTTTGACCATAACATTGTATACAAAAATTATGTTTCTCCCATAATCATGAAATTTTAAAGTGTCCAGAGTACCAGCAAGGACCTGATGTTTGAAACACAATGCTTCCAACTAGTTTTCTGTTGTGTGTGTACTTAGAGTAATTTCATCGGGCAATTCCGAATGATATGATGTTTATTTTTTTGCACCTCAGGGTGCCCAAACTGTAGGAATGGGGAAGGAAGCCCAGAGTGTGCCAGCTGCTGCTGAGTTATTTGAAAAAGCCAACGATATACTTGGGTATGATGGTTGTTTTTTCATGGTTTCCTTTAACGTCCATTTCTTATTTTTAACTCTTTTTACTTCTGTCTATACATTATAACTGTATCCTGCAACTGAAAAGGGTTGTTCCAATATAGTCATATTTTCTCTCTTTATTCTCAGATTCAATCTTCTGGATGTCTGCCGCAACGGTCCAAAAGAAAAACTTGATTCCACAGTTATAAGCCAGGTATGATATAAATTTGCAGTTTTCTTTTAACTGCAATGGGCTGGGGGTGTTCCTCCCTACAGAATGAACACTCAGTTCCTGACTTCCTTTCCATTCCTCATCGGTCTCTACAGTGAAAGAAATCTTGACAGCCTCTGTATGTAGCATTTGCTTGTACTATTCGTCCCCGCTTCTGCTGTCTTATCCTAAAGATTCCATACCCTTAAAAAAAGAACAAAGTATAAGCAATTAAGATTACTGAATTAAATACAACTTCTGAAATCAGACTTATCTGTTTTAAATCAGTTAATACGATTCCTAAAGGCATTAGGAAAATAAGACAGTAGAACTCCATATAGTGAAAACAAAAGAAAGAGGCAAGTTAAAAAAAAAAACATATGCTTACAAACAGCTGGGAGTCCCTCTCTACGCAAGGTATATGTCCTTCTTATGATCAACTATTTCCATCTCGTTTGGTGCGTTTTTATAAGCCCTGTGCACCAATTTACAAAATGTGTTATCATCAAATGGTGCAAAGAATGATTAACAATCTAATGATGCATGCTATGCTTTCTAGTCACTTTAGATTTAAAAGAAGTGAGATCCATTGCTTCCAATCCTTCAACCCATATTTCACTGGAACAAGAAAACATCATTAAATTAAATAACTTCATAAATTCAAATAAACAAGGTTACAAAATATCATAGCCTGTTGCTTTAAACCTAGTCAACCCCTTAAATTAGACATCCATGTCATAAAACGTGGACAGATCCCATTAATTTGTCCTCTATTAAAGAGGATTCTGTTATTTTGCATCTTACAGAATAAATATCATGCAAGCCATCTCAGAAGTTACTTGGCCAGAGTGGAAGTTTTTTGTAAAGTTTGAATTACACATTTGAGTTATATCTGATACCGTGATATAGAGAAATCCTAAATCATGACAGCGATTGGGAAAAGTTTTGGTTTAGCCTTAATTGAATATGACATTCACGAAACAATTTTGTAGAACTCTGACATCATCATTGTTGAACGGAAATAGATAACAAATGAACTAACATGAAATATGAACTTATCTCTTGAATTGAAACCAAGTTGAACATTAATGGATTCAAAACTAGGAAACTGAGATGAGGTTTCGAATCATACACCCTTATGATTCCTTTGATAATCTATCCAAAGCATGTAAAAATTAAGAAATTAAAATGGAGAGTTCAGTGAATGCTCTTACAGATGTTGCACCATAAGCAATTCCCCTACCCATTAAAAGGTGAGTTAAGGCTTAATGAAATACTTGAGAAAATATTCAGGGCTCTCTATGTACAAGTTGAACTTTCATGGGATGTCCATACACAATGAAATTCATGTAAACAAGCTATAGAGCAAGCACAATATCTCATCAAATGATATTTGCAATTTTAAGATAATGTTCAGGGCTCTCCATGTGCAAGTTCAACTTTAATGGAACGTTCATACACAATGAAATTCATGTAAACAAGCTATAGTGAAAGCACAATATCTCATAGAATGATATTTGCTTCAAATTGTATAATTAGAAAAAAGTGAACCATTTGAAAAAGATGAACCTGAAGTTAAGAAACTAAGTATTTTTTCTTGATGTACTCGGTTCTGAAAAGGATCTTTTAGATCACAGGGGGGGTTCTGAAAAGGATCTTTTAGATCACAGGGGTCTCTACTCAGCTAATTAAGTGTTGAATACAAAAATAAATATAAAATGAAATCAACAAGTGCATATTAAAAAAAATCACGAGGATTAGAACTTGTAATCTATGAATATGAAAATGAGTCCACTTTATGTAGATCCTTCATCTTCTCTGCATTTTTTTGAAACTCCATTTATAGGCCAACAGCTACATCAAACTCTATATTATGTATATTTTTTAATGTGTGTGTGAGATTCTTGTGTTCTCTTCTTCGTTTCTTAGAATGAGAAACAAAGAAGTTTAAATTTAGCAATTAGTGAAGGACTTTGACGTGTATCTTTCTTAATTTCTTTATGTTGTCTACGGATTTCATGTTTTCATTTGCTTCAATTAACATTGCTTGAATTAATTATTGCTTTAGTGCAAATTCTCGTTAATAGCTCATAACAATAATTTAAAAAAATCTACAGGAAGTTGCTACTTTTTAGCTACTACGTGTAATTACAAAAAATAGGCAGCAAATAATTATGAAAACAACTATAGAACAACTATAAGGAGCTACTAACAAAATAAAAACAATTATATCTTTTCTAAAAATGTGAATTATTTGTTTATTATTTCATTTTCTCCCTTTTTTAGATTTAAATTATTAAAACAACTTACATAAGCAAACACTCATAGTAAAGAGGTTAATGAATTATTTTCTAAATTTTAGTAACCATGAAAGAGAAGCCTATGAATGAGGCATGCAACGAGAAATGCACTTACGTCAGAGCTAGGGTTGCAGCCTATACCCTCCTCTTTTAATTAAAAATAGACTAGATGATCATGGCTCCTCTTTTATCTTTTTCTTTTGCATTTTTCTTGATATTTTGAGATCTGAAAAAAATTTCAGCTGTTTAAAACCATCTCCATTACAACTAAATAATTCATTTTCTCAATTATAATTGTATTTATCATCGATTTTGATATTTCTTTCCTCTTTCAAGCCTTGCATCATAAGTCGCTTTCGTATTCATTTTGCTACAACTATTTCTCTATATGCATCTCATTTTTTTTTCTATATACAATCTTGAAAGCAGTTCAGGTCACAAATCCATTTAAAAATAATGGTTCTTTGTACTAACAAAATTTACTGGTCTTAATGATAAGTTACCAGACATGCTATATATATGGACGAGACACATTAAGAAAATTAGTTTTTGGTAATAACACCATGTTCTATTCCGAAAAGAGGGAATTTTTTTTACTCATATGATGTCATAGACTCATAGTTATACACTGAGGACACTTTTTTCGATTTTTTCCTAATAACTATATGACTTACATTAACTATATGACTTGCATAAGAAAATTTTGATATTTCTTTCCTCTTTCAAGCCTTGCATCATAAGTCGTTTTCGTATTCATTTTGCTACAACTATTTCTCTATACATCTATTTCTCTATATGCATCTTATTTTTTTTTTACTATATACAATCTTGAAAGCAGTTCAGATCACAAATCCATTAAAAATAATGGTTCTTCGTACTAACAGAATTTATTGGTCTTAATGATAAGTTACCGGACATGCTATATATATGGACGAGACACTCACATTAAGAAAATTAGTTTTTCGTAATAACACCATGTTCTATTCCGAAAAGAGGGAATTTTTTTTACTCATGATGTCATAGACTCATAGTTATACACTGAGGACTCTTTTTTCGATTTTTTCCTAATAACTATATGACTTACATAAAAACACATGTGAGGTTTATTTTTATTACTTGGGAAAGTAAAAAATGTTTACGAAGAGTAGTAAGAGGATTCTTTGAAGAGTCAATTACATGTAAAAATTATTGAAAAATTAATTATATTGATTAGAAATATATAAATCTTAAAGGATTATTTGTTGCATGAATAATATGAATCAAGTGTGCTCGTGTTGTGCGCTTGCATGTGAAGTAAGAACTTTATTTAGATAAGAGTTACGCTGAATAAATTGTTCAATTTGTTTTTTGAGTTTCACACTAGAATATCCTTTATCAATGATACTTATCTCTTACATCTATCTATATTGTTATATAAAAAACCAGTGAGGGATAGTGCAAATTTGTATGAGAGTGGTGGACATGTTCTCCTTTTCAATTGTTTGAAATTGATAAATTGTAATTTTACAAGGGATGATTTATTTCTCTTTTTTATTTCTTTCTTTCTAGAATATTCTACATGAGTTATTTACTAGGGATAATGTTTTCTCTTTTCTATTCTCTTTCTTTCCAAGATATACTATATCACTCAATGATGTGGAAATAAAATTGGAACCCACATAATTGCATATCTTTTATTTTTTAGGTGTTAAAATATAAAATTAAGAAAACCATGAAGAAACCATGAAAAAGTCTTCTTTTCTAAGGGTGTGTTTGACAAATCATCAAAAATGGGCCAATATTGACCTTAGATCTGGTTCTGAATAGAACTAGGTTAGTTGTGGCTCAATTTTATAGAATTGCCAAACCCACCCTAACTTTTGCTTCTAGGAAAAATTATTTATTTAGGAATAAAATGGGAATTATGAAAAATATGAAAGATATGACATGTCTATTTTCTCCCTCATTCAATCCACTTCTCCCTTCCTCTCAAATCAACAAGAGAAATAAAAGTTTTTTCATATATGCTCCTAAAATGTCAATTAGGACATTAAAATGTGATTAACTCTCTTATGTGAAAATTAAGATAAAGAAATTTTAATGTATGTTGCATGTGCGGCAATGCTAGTGTATACAATTCTCCAGATTTGTTTGAATAATTTAGTAGAAGTTTGTGTTCACATATATGGAAATTAAGTATATTTTAATACACAAGTACACACATATACATTTCCTTATCCCATGTCCATACCACACATCTTATTCCATTTTGGTTCCCCCATTGATAACTATTTCCTCAACACATGATTAGATGGATATGAAGTGGATGCTGCTATAGTGGAAGAATAGTGACGTCATACATACTTCATATCAAAATCATACTTCCCATGAATTTACTATTATTATAGTTAGCACACTAGGTAGGCAAAGTTCTGTCACTTGGTCACTTTTCATGCTTATTTATAAGTAGAAAGAGATATATTTTCCTGAACAAAAGGGATATAAATCACCTGCAGCCAGCAATATATGTCACAAGCTTAGCTGCTGTTGAGGTACTACGTGCACGTGATGGTGGTCAAGATATTATCAACTCTGTAGATGTCACCTGTGGTCTAAGCTTGGGAGAGTACACAGCTCTTGCTTTTTCTGGAGCCTTCAGGTATTCTTGATCAACAATGCTGTTATTATATATCTACATGATGAATTACATCATTACGTTAATAGTGAAATTCTTTGGGTAACACATAGTTTGGACTCATGATGGAAGTACTAACAATCTAGTGAAACATGCTGAATATGCTGAGTTCCCATGTATTTTATATGTTAATCTTGTTAATTTAACATTCTTTTTGTTGCAATTGCAACTTTGTGTGTATAAATTTAACTCCCTAGCTTCGAGGATGGGCTCAAACTTGTCAAGCTTAGAGGAGAAGCCATGCAGGTCTGGGCCCGAACCTAGGGCTGCAAGTAGTCCAATCCCTTACAAATTATTGACTTCCTCAAGGATCAAGGGGAACTTGATATTTACATATCTCCTCTAATTCTTCCAGGATGCTGCTGATGCTGCTACTAGTGCTATGGTTAGTGTCATAGGGCTGGATTCAGAAAAGGTGCAGTTGTTATGTGATGCAGCCAATGAGGAAGTTGATGAAAAAGAAAAAGTTCAAATTGCAAATTTTCTATGTCCAGTAAGATATCTTCCAATCTTATTATTATCTTTTTGGTTCTTAACATTATTTCAAATCCTTGGTCTTGACTTGAAATTAGTATTTTAGGGTAATTACGCTGTGTCTGGAGGTGTCAAAGGAGTTGAAGCAGTTGAAGCTAAGGCAAAGTCATTTAAGGCTCGAATGACAGTAAGTTCTCAAAATTGTTTGAGTTTCAATCATATGTCTATGAGATAAAACCTCCAAGTGGTTTGAAAATTTGGGCTTTCATATTCACGTCTGTGATCCCTAAACATGCAACATGGTGTGCTATAAACTAGCAACATTAGAATCTGAGCGTGTGCTCATTAGTGGAAGAAGAGACAAAACAAGTAATATTATTTTTCTTCGCATAGACATCCAGAAAAGACTTGGTTTGTCATTGTTCCTATTATTCCCCTACAGACGTATAACTTCATTGTTTGGTTATAATCCCTATCTCCACAACTGAGAACCAGGTCAAGTCATTGAAGCCTCTCTAATTAACTTCTTTCGCGTTAAGTCTTAGTGTATTTTGCTCAAAAGATGATATTTGCACGCTCTAAGTTGTACTTCGTGCATATAAAGTCTCCACAAAGTCATGATGCCTATAAATTCAAAATTGTCAATAGTTTATGGTAGGAATATTCAAGTATTTACTAATACTCAAGTATCTGCTAACTTTCTTTTCCTGTATGCCCAGAATGTAACCTTCCTGTGTTCTTTGCCCCTCAAATTGTGGTGTTCCCCCTAATATCTTTGCGATCATCACGTCGTAATCCCTGCAAAGTCGAGTGTGTTATGTCCTTTTTCACCATAGCTTCTATCCCAGTATTCAAGTGTTGTTACATATCTGATCTACTACTAGTTTTCTTTTCATATATCCCCAGAGTAATTTTCGTGTATGCTTCGCCCCTGGTATGGTCATGCTATGCTGACACTAAATGCCTCTTTTCCTAGCACTTGATTCTGTATTTGGAAGGACACATTATGCGTGCTTGATAAAAACAACTTGTCCCTACTGGAATGCAAATATTTATAGCTTCGAACGGTTTCGAATTAAATGACACCTTAAAAAAAAAGATGGTTTTCATCGGATGATATACCAGTGTGCTGGGGGGGGATCCCACCAATCGAACTATGCCACCTTGCTTTGCAGCTTGTAAATGTAGTGTCATTCTTACAAATGCATAATAATTACATTACATGTTCCCCGTTTATCTCTACCATGTGATTTAAATTGCACAAAAATGTCAATGATAAAACTGTGCGTAATCTATTTATTAGTTCATCATGGTAGCTTGTGTTTTGCATTAAAAAGCAATCAACAGATGAAAGTGATGATATGAGGCCCTAAAATAATTTGTATTGGATCTCAGGTACGCCTAGCTGTTGCTGGTGCTTTCCACACGAGGTTCATGGAACCGGCTGTCTCAAGATTGGAAGCTGCATTGGCAGCAACAGAAATAAGAAAGCCCAGAATACCAGTCATATCCAATGTGGATGCGCAGCCGCATTCTGATCCTGAGATGATCAAAAAGATTTTGGCTCGTCAGGTGACTTATCCATGCTACGAAATCTCACGTTACCGTTGGTAAATAAGCATTTCTAGGCTTCTCAAACTGTGAAATTCTGTACAGGTGACTTCTCCAGTCCAGTGGGAGTTAACAGTGAAGACTCTCATGAACAAAGAGGTTACAAAAAGCTATGAGCTGGGACCTGGCAAGGTATTCTTACGCTGCAAAATTCCTTTATTACAGTGGACTTGTGCATCTACTTAAACAAGTACTCGACTTCTATTTCTCGATTGCAGGTTATAGCAGGAATTGTGAAGAGGATCAATAAGAGTGCTGTTATTGAGAACATCAGTGCTTGATCATGCCTTTATGGATGCATTTTTCGACGCTGCAACTTCGTTGCCTCCTGAGGCTGATGATGCTTAAACTATAGAAAGTAGCTTGAGAGCTGAGCTCGTAGCCGTATGAGCTCTGGATGGAGGTCCAGCAGTGCAGATTGTTGATGACAAGAATTTATAGTGAAGGCAAGCCGTGTAATAAGACATGTTTTTACGAGTGCATCATTTTTCAAAATTTTTAAAATGTATGATGATCACGCGCAAGTTTATTTATTTGTCATATTTTTGAAACCAGGAAACTACCTCTAGTTTATGAATATTCCTTCTGCGATTAAAAATCTTGCTTACAAATTGAAAGGACTCCATGGATCTCTATACGCATTCTAGTCAAATGGAGTTGCTTATTAGTAAATGAATATAAATTATTAACAATAAAAGTTAATGGTAACGTCGTTACCGAACTCCCAGCAAAGAAAAGGAGGGGGAAAATCATTTTAATTGAGTAGGTCAGCTCACATCACTAACCAGCATGACGTTAAAATTTTACCTCCTGCTCTTATACATAAATTGGAAAGTAACAAGGAAAAAGAAAAAAAAAATACAAGAACATAAAAAAAGAAAAAAAAATCAAGACATTCCAAATTGAAAAATATTAAGCGAAAAGTTATCTTAGAGATGCTAAAAGAAAAAATGAGGGATAATATGTTTCGAGGTAACAAAAATTCCCTTCCTAGAAAACAAGGCTTTCTGCCGCCTTCGCAGTATCACCAAAGAAAATTTAAGATGACCAAATCATCATCATTTCTTCCTCTCTCTTACAAGCCAATTCATTTGAACAAATACTAATTTATGATTTCATGTTATGCAGCTATTAGATAGAAGATAAAACTAACTTCAAGCGCTCTCGGTCACGGGGTACTCGAACACCACATCTTTACCACAAAGCCTGCGGTAGACTCCAGAAAATGTCTCCAGCTTGTACTCGGTGTTGTTGCGCTCCTTGGGATCCAAGAAGATCTGAAATGAGGTGTGTGTTTTAGAAATGGTAAGAATTCTTCCTCTATGGCGACAAAATGAAATAGTAGTGACACCAAGAAAACAGTCAGCTGTCAAAAAGAGGATTTAATTCGCTTATTTTCAGCAATCTTTTAGTGAGCACTCTAGTTTAGGAAGTTCTCCGGAACTCAAAAACATCCATTATTATATAACTAAATTCATAATTATATAGCCTATGATTAAGTAAACCCAATCATATAACTTATATGTCAAACTAAGATGACTATGAAGTTTGAGCTTTTAAGGAAAGACTAAATAGCACTTCAATACCTAAAATTTTCACTCATTTAGCACTAATATACCCTCAGTAGTCTTTTATAGCAATTATATACCTTGCGTTTTTTTAAATAGACATGTTAGTACCTTTTGTCATGCAAATGTGAAAATTTTCATCCCAAAGTTCTTACATGTAACATTCAAATGCTAATTTTATAACTTCAAAAACTACCAAGTTTCTTGAACTCTGTTAACTCTATCCAAAATTTTAAGAATTTCACGTTTGCATAATATAAGGTATTTAAGTGCTATTTAGCCTTTAAGGAAATTATCTTGAACTCAAAAACATCAATCATGTTATGAAGGGTTTTTTTCGATATTGGTCCCTCAAATATTTAGTATTTTGATTTTGCCCCCCCCCCCCACCCCAATCTCATAAATATGCTGAAATTAGTCCTCCCAGTTAGCATCCATCTGATTTTGGATGGAATATTCTCAAATATTCCTTTTAACTTTAATTTTTGAATTGGACTGACCATTATACCCTTTCATTACAAACCCAAACCCATTACCCATGTAATTCATAACCATTTAGATTTACAAACCCATTTCATTACAAACCCAAACCCACTTCAGTTCTCATCTCCCCATTTTCATCTCCTTCCTTCTCAAAGCAAGAAGTTAAGGGCAAAAAATCTAGCAGTAGACAACAGCAAAGGATGTGAAATGCTGCTGGAACTGTACCCAATCAGAATGTGGGTCTGTCTCTTGTCCTCATTACTAACCTTTCAATCTCCATTGATGCAACTTTGAGAATCCATAAAAAGGTCTGATCGGTCTCATCTCTTCAGCAAAGAGGTATATAACCCCAAAACGCCTCTATCTCTGGAACAGTACCCAATCAGAATGTGGGTGATTACTAACCTTTCAATCTCCATTGATGCAACTTTGAGAATCCATAAAAAGGTCTGATCAGTCTCATCTCTTCAGCAAAGAGGTATATAACCCCAAAACGCCTCTATCTCTTATCATCAAAACAATAACAAGCTCTAACATAATAGCTTGTCTCCACAAAAACATGAAGGCAAGTTGTAAAAACACCCCCAATCTCAACCTCATCCTCCTGGTTTATTCCTCTTCATCGTATTCATGATTCTAAGATCAATCTCCTCTTCTTCTCCCTTTCCTACTACACAAACCACAACCACACAGACTCTTAACACTCCCCCAGTGCAATCAACAGCAACACATTCATTCTCAAACATTCTAAAAAATGCCACCCTCCCTCGTAGAATCAATCCTTCACCATGCACCTTAAACACCATCCTCAACAAACCCTCTGAGATCTTGGGCTGAGGTGCTGCTACTGAAAGAAGCAGCGGAAGGGATAAAAGAGAGATGGGGAAAAAAAGGCTTGTTGGTAATCATCAGTCACGTTTACCACTATGTACCAATGGTTAAGAGATTTAACAGATAACATAACATGAGGGACTGATTTCAACATACTTATAAGATTTGGGGGACTAATATTAAAATAGTGATGACTTAAAGGGACTAAATATCGAAAAACCCTTTATGAAGATACCTTGATAAATATCTATCACTTAAGCATCTAATCACATTGGCGTATGGTCTAGAGTTTAGACTACAATCTACCCAATCATCTTATGTGTCAAACAAAAGGCTTATCCAACAATGACAGCAGAAGTGACTATAATAACGGATAACTAAGTCTTATTGTTACTTTTACCTTAATGATCTTGGAGCCATCCAAGTGATATCTCACGCGCTTTCCTACAATTTCCGCAGGGTAGACAACATCCTCCAAAATAGCATCATGTACTGCAGTGAGTGTACGGTTGCGAGGGCGAATAACCGCTGAACCTTTCTTTGGGGGCCTCACTATCCTCCGAGAAGCAACAAAGATCACGTCCTGCAAGTAAGCAGCACGGAAAAGTTAATTAAAAGAAGGAAAAATAATCTAGGAGTCAGATATTAGTCTTCTCCACGGAAAAGGGCTGAGACGTAACACTTAGAAACAAAAACATAACAGTAACAATAATATAAGAAAACACAGATATTGTTGTATCCAGGGATAAAGGTCTACACTTGTTATCTAGAAACTCAAGAATTAAGACTAGGAAGTTGCTTGAAACAAAGCAGCCTATAAACGTAATCGACTAATCCCACGGTCTGACACAATGAAATATCAAGCGGAATAACATCGACTCCATTAAAAATTAGTGGCGAAATGCAGACATGTGCGCCATTGCATGCTGTTAAAAGTGTCCAATAAGTGACGGTTGTTTTGAAACTGTAAATAAAGGATAATAGAAATTTGTCTCTGAACAATTGAAAAGTACACCTTGAAGTTCACGAAAAGACCACAAACCATGGCTATAGCATCATAAACATTAATTTTGTATGAACGCATCTCATTCTTGTTTGTAAGAGAATGATATACAGGTCTTTTAACTCATGAATGTTGAAAATTACAATGTACACAAGGTATACTTTGTATTCAAAAAAGTCTTATAAGGTTAGTTACTTAACACTTAATACAATTGTCAGCATCAACAGCTCAAATTTGTGAACTATTCCCCACAAATCAGTCCTTAATTGAATAGTTCAACGCCCAGGTGAAGGCTACTTATGTATTGGGATCAAGCAGGTTATTGAAAATTTACTTGGATAAAGGGAGCTCCCAAGAGATAGAAACCACATATGCTGATTAAGAAGGCTCAACAATAACAAAAGGAAAATAACACACATAACTGCTCCAACATTCTGGATAACAGGCGAGATGTCAATTATGCAACAAAGGATATTCTGAGGGTAAAATATAAACCACATAAAGAGGTTTGGGTATGTACACAGTACATTGACTGCAAAGAAAGCAGTAAAGCATTTATGGCATTGGTCTTTTAAAATATAAAAACTGGTGATAGAAAGATCAATTCTGAAGTTATATTCTATAATGTGATGAATACAAGGTCAAATGAAGCTAAAATGAAGACTTCAATCTATTTGACTCAGCATCCCCAAATGAATTGAATGCTTTTTCACACTCAAATAGCATTTAAAGAGATGAATATAGGGTTCGGTAGATTGTTTTCATACCGTATATTATGGCACTCATGAGCACATCTTGCACTCAAGGTTTCTATTTCTGACAATATTATGTCATCACTCATCAGTGAGAAGTTCACTGCAGTTCAACCACAAAGAAGCAACACAGTTTCTTCTATCAGTGTGAATTTTCTATAGGCACAGTAATAACTAATTATAAATCAGGGAATGCAAAGCTAAGATACGGGTAATAAGTTTAACTATATTTCGGACTTTTTTGGTGCCTTAGCTAGCTATAGGCCGCCAGAGAGCAGCTTGAGTGCTTTGTGCAGTGATGATTAGTGGGGAGAGTTGCAGTAGTGTCAAGATAAGAGCAATGAAAATTGAGAAAAGAGGTGATAGAGAAGAATGAGGCTCTGCGAGCAAAGTGAAGTGTGACGGGCAAGATTTTCAGAACCTTCAATTCAACAATTTTCTTCCATTCTTAATTTAACCCCTTTTAATAACACCTCTATAAGCATCTTAATTCATGAAATATAAATCAAACCAAAAATCTCAGTCAGGATACCAACGAAGTCAAAAAGCACACCATTTCAACAGTCCACAGAATGGATAACCACTAAAACTCTTGTACAGCATACATGCATCACAAGCACATTGCTATAAATGTTATGATCCATAGAAAGAAAGAAAAAAGCGACGAAAAATTCAAATTCCAGCTTCACCTTTCCACCGAACTTCTTCTCCAGTTCCCTAACAAGCCTCACATGGATCTTCCTAAAACCCTTCCTCAACCTAAACGGGACATGAATAACAACTGCCTTTCGGTTCCCAGCTACGTCAATCTGACTGCATATAAAATACCCAGAATTAGCATTTCGTTCAAACTAGAAAAGGTAAATTAAAACAAACTCCCTTCATTTATAACTTTTTTTTTCAAGAAACCCTCATCCAAAAAGCTCAAAGGAAAACCCTCATCCACGATAATTAATGACACTGTTTGTTTTGGTTCCTCAGCTTCCTCGACAGACGATTGGTTAACTGATAAAAGCATAGATTTATTTACCCAAAAAACTAACTATTTTCTTTTTTACCCGACTTGAAAAAAAAGGGAATTTACACACTTTTCCTAAACTTACAGCGCAGAATTGATGAAGAGATCCTTCAAGTCACTCTTCAGCTCCTGGTTAGTGTTCTCCAAATCGAAGATCCACTGCAATTAACCCAAGTATTACATTGCTTAATCACGAAAAAAATCATGAAAAACAATAAAAATGAAACCCTTATAAAGATGAAATTGACCTGAGCAACGTTGTACTCGAATTCGGAGGGCTCGAGGCCCTTGTCGTTCTGGATCTTTCTACCCGCTGTAAACATTTTTAACTTCTACTCTTACCTGCTATTTCCACGCGAAATTAAATTAAAAAGGTAAGCTTTTTTCAAGAAAAAGAATCGAACTTTTGAGAACGCTAGATCGATCTAAGAGATAAGTATAAAAATTAAGGTACAGCTTCAAAACCCTAGTTGAATCGAGGGAAATACCTTGAAGAGGCGCGATCGAGCGAGCGAGAGAGAGAAGGAAAAGAGAGAGCTTGGCGGCCTGTTAAGGAATTTGTATATACTCAGACGCAGCCCTCAGATGGACGGTTGTGATGGAATCAAGTACTTTATGCACATTGACCCTTATGAGTTTTACTTTTTTGGGGATGCTAAGCTTTGGATTTTGAAATTCTGGATAAGTAAAGACTTTTTAATATCCTGATTTTCTTTTTTTTTCAAAGAGAATTTGTAATTCTGAGAGGAAATTTTCATATGACTTCCTTTCTTTTTTTTTCTCTGCAAAATTTGTGAGTGAAGAGAGGATCACGTAAAGTGATCAGCAAACTTTCCTCAAAAGAAATACAATTGTATAAATTCTAGTTGAGATTTCCAGCTAATGCAAATATTTTTTTTATGTCTCCCACTTTTCCCGTAGATTTCTAAGAATTTGAGCAGGATATTTAGGAAGAACGAATTGCATGTAGAACTCTCTCTACTATCACCTAAAGTATTATTATCGCAGATAGACATTGAGTGATTTTTTTCACTCTTTTACCCTCGTAGAAAGGTAAAAGTTGTTTTTTTTGTAATAATAAATTGATATACTAGAGCAAAAGAGTATAAAAATTGCACTTCATCAACTTATATAAATTAATGTAGGCAAAACATAAGTTCTTATATTATCAAACACTAGTGTGAACACCGTGCAAAGCACGACATACGGTACATTATTTTTTTTCCCGCTACAGCAATCGCGGTTTTAAATGTTACAATAATTTTTTTATTTTTTGGGTTGCTACAGTATCTCATCTCTGCTATAGTTTTCGAAATGCTACAATACTCTGTTTGCTACAGTAATGCGTCCGGTTTTTTGTTCACTGCAGTAATAATGCTATAGTAAATATTGCTATAGTATTTACTATCGTATGAATAGTAAATCTTGAGTTCTCCTGTTTGTATAGATGAATAGATATATGAATTAAACACTTCTTGTTCATTAAACATGGTCCTATAAATATCTCAAATTTAATATCATGCCGCTTTCAATATTACTTTATTATTATATATTATTTTCATAATAATTATCTCACAACTAAAAGTGTTCCATTCGGCTAGCAGAGGAGAACAAAAGCAACTTTTTTCTCCACTAAGCATGCATGCCCAATTGGCAATTGCCCATCCTATGCTATTGATATTGCATGATTATTTACGCGATGGCTAATTTCAAGCACGTGACTCTATTGTATTGTTTAATATTTGTTTATATGCATCTCATTAATACCATTGACTAACATCCATCCATCTATCAATATCATGATGAAATTTGCGAAGGGAGAAAAAATGGAGCACATGACAAATCTCCGCCGAGTTCTGACAACCAAGACAACTTTTACTGGCTCAGAATAAGGTTGCAATTTTTTTTTTGATTTTGTGTTATTTTTTTTCCTTTTGTTTTCTTTTTTTTTCTGTTTTTGTCTTTTTATGCATCTACATTTGTATTTTTTTCGCATTTTGAAAAATACGAGAATAATGCTAATCAATGTTGGAATTTATTGGATAGAAACTCACTTTTTGAAAGTAGGACATTCCAAACGTACCGACCTAGCTCGGCCCGGATCTCCGGCTCCGGGCCAGGCAAAATGCTTAGCCCACTTGGGCCGTGCCCCGGTCCAGGTCCGAGCCAAATCGGGCCAGGCTGGATTTTTTTATATTTTTATATTTTTTGTATTTTTAGCTAAAAGTTAATTAAAAATTAGATTAAACTTATTATATTTATAATAAGTACGTATTAATATCTACTTACATATTAGTATATAGCTATATATTATATGTAAGTATATATAAGTATACATCAATGATCGTATCATACTATAATTATATATAGTATATATATTAGAAATATATATGAAAGTATATATAAGTATACATTAATGACAATATATACTTATATATATAATATATATAAGTATATTTTAATAACCATATCATACTATAATTATATATAAAAAATATAAATATATATCTAATATGTCCCAAACCCGGGCCCGACTAGCTCGGATTTTCCGGGCCTTACCCGGGCCTAGGCTGAGTTTGGGCCCAGCCAGATCCAAAGCGCACACATTTGAAAGAATGTCTTTTAAATTTCAAAATAAATAACTATTTGTTTAAAAGTTCTGTATGAAAAAATTGAAAAAAAAAACCCCATTTTAAAAGAGACACTTTATAGAGGATTGTGAAAAATCATTTCATAATTGTGTTCATTGAAAGACACCTCTTACCCATCAGGTATGACTCGGACGACGGGCTTACGTTCGATTTTGAGCTGAGATGAAAAAAAAACCTTTCCTCGTCACATAAATTATAAAATTTTAAAAAAATATTTTAAAAATTTTTAATGACTCTTACTCTTAAAGTTTTTTTTTCTTTCTTAGAAAATTGGCAATCCCTATAAAAGTTGTTTCATAGATAATTGTGGGAAAATTTCCAAACGTGCTTTCTAGAATTTTCATACTATGTTGTACCTTGAGAGACAATTCACATTAATCCAAAGCATACTTTATTATTAAGCAGGATGAATATTTCCTTCATAAAAGTGATTTTCATACCTCTTACTATCTATTCTACTAATAATCAACCTTAAAATTATAGACCATTTTTCTAATTAATCTAAGTATTTTTTTTCACTTTTTACAATTAACACTAAACTTTTTATTCCATCTTCTTTCTTAATTATCAAAGGGAAACGTCAATAGGGCAACGATATTGTTGCCAAGTTCGCTTTTCAATGAAAATTCCATGCATATGAATGGATTAGTTATACTTTAGTCGAGTTGATGATTATGCCCTCGTTAAAATTAAGAAAAAATTGTGTCAAGATTCCAAATATGAAAACTTGATGTGCCTCAGGCTCTTGTACTTTCATTCTTGTGTATAAAACCAATATAGAAGGTAATATTGTGTCAATGCCCTTATTCCTTTGCCAACTAAGCACAAAAAGAGTGGGAAAAAAAAAATCTAAAAACCCAAAAATACCCTCCCCCACTCATGAAGATCATAACCATGGTGAGATTTCTCCTCTCTCTTCCTGCTTCCAACTCAACCCTCTCCCTAACTCCTCATCCCCCACCTCTGTCGCCGACGTCGTTGCTAATTAGTTTCTCCTCTCTCATCTCTCCTAACCATGACCTTAACCACAATCTTCATGTGTGCTCCTCCCTCCTCTCCTCCTCTCTCCTAATTCTAACTCTAACCCTAATCTTCCTCTAAATATAGTCCTCCCCTCCAATGGGCAAGATCTCATCTTTCCTCCACCACCGATGTATCCGATCCAAATTCTTACCCGGATCTGAACCTAGATCCACCTCCAGCTCCGCCAATGCCTCCTCAGAAGTGCTTATTATTTATTGATATATAAAATACTTCTGTCAAGTAGTATGCAGTAAGTACGTAAATATAAAGGATTAGCTGACTGACATATAGAAATATGACATGTTTAACTTCTGTTTATATCCTCTCTAAACAATGCATTTCAAAAGGCCTCATATCAAGTGTATTTTATGGATACCATCATCCTGAAAGGAAAACCCAAGATCTAATGCAGAAATAACAAACAAAGGATACACCAGGCTCAAAAGCGGCATTTCCCAGTCTTTGGCCTCTTCCTTCCTCCTCTTCAACATTAGATGCTTATATAAGGATTTCCAGGTACCCACTCTCAAGCCTCTCTCTTTCTAATCACAGCCCCACTAAAAAACTAACAGAGATAAATTATAAATGATCACATGAGGAAGCTAATCCATGGATACAATAAAGTTACATGTTACTTCTTATCATTAATGTTACACAAAAGGAAAAATGTAACTATTCTACGCATGAATCTTCACACGGACCGATAAAAATGCATCTCCCTCAGTTTAAAACTACTCCAATTTAAGCCAGCACAAGTCTACTATTGACAGGGAAAAGCTGAACTTCCTAATGAAAAATCTCTATTCAAACTTAAAAAGAGTGTCTACAATTTAAGGACATTTTATACAATTGATTATAGTTGCAGTTTAGTTTCTCAGAACATCTGAAACAATCAAGTCTGTTGAGTACAGAAACTAGAGTAATAATACAACTTCTCCGATTGAAAAACAGGAGGGGGGGGGGGGGGCATGCATTGTTTGCTGGCAGTTCATTAAGTTTATTGAACAGAAGAAAAGATACTGCAATCTAGAGAAGAAAGATATGTGAGTAGGTATTTCAGCTACTGATTTGGCCAAAAAAAAAACAGCAATTAAATCTCAAATGGAGGCTCTTAATGCAGATTAAGTAGAATCTTAGGAACGTATGCACCATATACAGAAACACACATAAAGGTGCTGCCAGAACAGATTTGGAATTCTTTTCTTACAAGGGAGCATGCACAAATTATACGTATGAAATAATAACCTACATAATATAAATTCTACCAACAGAAAAACTTATAAACTAAGCACAAAGATCTCAGAACGTAAAAGGAAAGTAAAGAAAAAGAAAAGAAGAGGCAAGTTGATATTATTTTCTGTTAAGACATTAGCCTTTCAAAACATTTTTCTTTAGAGAAAAAAGGGGCTCATATCAAGTGTATTTAGCACACTGTCAGTGCGGAAGGAAACCCAAAGATCTGATGCACGGTTAAAGAAGAAGAGGCATAAGCGCCTCCAACGCTTTGCTCCCAAATTGTCCCAATGAATAAACCCCACAGGGAGAGGATACACACACATGCACGCGCGTGCACACACGCAAAACGAAGGAAATAATACAAAGAGCCCCTTAGTCACCCTTTTTCCTCTTATGCGGCAGATACTTCTGCAAGGATTTCCAGTTCTCCATTCAAGCCTCTCTTTCTAATCAGGGCCCATATCTGAAACTTCAAATGACAACATTAAAAACACTACTATGAAGACATAATCAGGATGCCATGTGATACAGCAAGAAACTCATCAAGTAAACATTCTATTGTCATTTGACATGTGTGCAGAAATATAGTGATGCGATGGAGAAAAAAGACTATGTCAATATTAATCCATGAGGGCGTGAAAACAATCCCATCCATGTCCACACCAAAAAAAAAAAAAAAAAAAAAAAAAAAAAAACTTACCATCCAAACTGTTTTCATAATCTTATACTATTACAAACTAACTAACTAACTAGTATGAAATCCCTAAAAGAGATGAATTTGAATCCAGATGCTGATAGCCACAGGACATGTTTCATAATGCAGATGCGAACTACTGAACAATATGCAAAGATAAAATCTTTATACCAAAATGTGAAGAAGAACACATAATAATCAACAAAACCTGCGAAAAATTTAACAAATTCGACCTCCTAATTAGTCTTGGGAAGTGGTAGCAGTAATCTCACCTCTCAATCTCCTCAACCCATCCACCCACCGATCCTCGGTCTCCCGATCCGCCCAATCCGGCGCCGATCCACGAAATCTCACGCCCCTCATCGCCTCCATGACCCTAGACGCATCCTCCGCCGTCAACGGCGCATTCCTCCAATCCTCACCCTCTCTAAAAGCCCTAAAGAGTCAAGATCGACGCGTCCTTCTCCCTCCCCCCCTCGCCCTCCATTTCCTCCTCCTCATCGACGGAAATTAGGGTTACGGTTTTGGTAGGGAGTTGGGATCCCCCCCGCC